AGGGGGTCGGACTCGATGATCTATTGAGGTCCCTTCCGACCCTAACATCTATGAATTGATCTGACCTGATTTCTTACGGTTTAGATACTCAAAAATTTTAAATTTGTCATCAGATTAATTACAGCTCTCAGTGTTCTACTTTGTGGTAAATTTTATGAAAATGGGAAGGCTCATAATATGAGCAACAGTTATTAGGAAGTTGATATGCACTCTTTCTTAACACCCCAAAAATGTCATCTAACCTTCAAACACCAAAGTACAATGCTTATCCCTATTATCCAGCCCATATAAACATTTTTTTTAAAGTAGTGGGCTTTTATTAGAAAGTATATTTTTTTGACGGTACCATTTTACAGGTTGTAACTCTATAAAATATTGGTATATTTATTTCCCAGAAAGTCATTTCTATATCTTGTTGGCTAATTTAAAACAGTAGGATATGTGGCCTGCTCTAGTATGCCAGATGAATATTATGTGCCTCTAGAGACTGACACTAGTAGATTGCAGCCCCAAATGAAAGCTTTTCAAACAACAGAGTAAATTCAGACTAATATTGTTTTCCCTATCATTAAACTATTTGCTATGATCCAGAACTGCTTTTTTAAGTGGGAATCCCCAAATATTAGACGTTTACAACACATGGCACCACAAAGCCAAAAGCAATTTTCTGTAATGATGATTACTGTCTAGGTCAATCAGCAGGACTTGGTGAAAATACGAAGAGAATTACTGGTGTCAGTTTTTTAAAAATTTGGTCACAAGACAACCTATTTCTTCCTTAGATCAATTGATATTTGAACTTACTAGGGTCTAGATTTTGCCATAGGTATAAGAAGTATGTAAGAAGGGAGAGCAAGGGATCACACAACAACAGGAGCCTCAGGGAGAGATTCTAGCAGTTTGGTACTCCTTTAGGGTGCTCCTGGGCAGTGCACACCAGATCTTTTTGCTGTTCCACCCTTGTTAAGTAAATGACTGGAACCTCCACTGGGGTTGTCTACCAAGTGGACAACAAGAAGAAAGAGGCCCATATTTTTAAAGGTACTTTGCCACCCACCTCACATTGAAATAACCAAAAATTACCTAAATAGTTTTAAAAATCTCTCCTTAAGACTAACTTTTAATGTGGATGGCCAGGCCACTAGTCCATCAGGTCTGTAAGAATAAGAAACATTAAAGGGCAATATTTTTGGCCAGTAAATGTAAATAACCCTAGAATTCAACAACCCACCAACTGAATGGCTGAAAAGAATTTTCTAGCAACAGAACATGATTCAGCAGACCTAGGTTGCACCTACTCCTCAGGCTAAATCCTCCCAGCTGCTGAGATAGAAACGCAATCACACTAGGGGTTTGGTGCTTTAAAGGTATTTTCGAAGTGCTAATCAGCATTGTTTTTTCAGAACCTCCTTTCTCAGGTGTTACAAAAGTAACTGAAAGTATGTCAGTCTCCAGGTGACCTCTCTTGCATCTATCAACTCTATGCCACATTGTGGACAACGTGCACATTCTCCACCCTGCCATATAGAGTCCACCATCCAAGAGGGATGTTCAGGAAGAGCCTTAGCAGATCTTTTATCTTAGAACTACTCAGGACAAAAAATGCTTGAAAATTCTTATTTAACAACTGGAGGCCTAAAAAGCCAGAAGAAATGCTGAACCAGAGAGCCATTTCTAAGCAAGCTGCCTCAGTGCCTTAAGCTTTCAACTTTACTATTTCTGGTTCATAACCACAAATTAAACATCTCACTTCCAAACAGACCAGGCCCTTAGAAGAACAGTAGGAGAGCTATGCCTTGTTTGTGATACACATTAAGTGCTTCCAGAAACAACTGAAGCCTGCTCACTTGATAGTTCACATTCCTGTCTTATTTCACCCAGATTAAACAATTGATGTGTTACAAAAAGAGGAAAAGATGATTTCTTTAGACAGTAATGACCAGGGCCAGCCTCACTTTGCTAGAAGTGCAACAGGCAGTGACCTAGATAAAAGCAGAACTCTAAATTGCTTATGACTCTCTCTATGACCAGCTGTAAACTTATGGAAGATTGAACAGAACTGAGGTTTTCAGTATCCATAGATACTGTATTGCCTAGAGTTATTTAGCTTGATACACTAAAATTAAAATTAAACTGCTTCTGCTACTGTGTATCTTATTGTAAACTTCATTTTATAAGAATTATGCATCTCAGAAGCACAAGTGATATAGAAATGGTATAACTGGTATTATGATACCTCATTTATGGTCTCCCAGAATGAGTATATTGGACTGCTCTATGCTTCTGTTGTCTCCAATTGCCAGGAGGCCCTTTGGGACCATAAACAGAAAGAACCAGATCACAAACATCTCAAATCTACTCCAAACAGGGTATATCTACATGTTCATTAATGCACCGTAGTTACTGTGCATTAAGCTTAGTGCTTGGATAACCAAATACTAAATCAACGCATAGTAGTTGGCAATCCTGTGCAGGAGCAGCAACGCACAACTTTTTACAGACACTAACTGCACAGTAGCCTAATACTACTGCGCAGTAGTGTATTAGCAAGAGTTTTGCCCGGCATGCTACTGTGCAGTGTTATTAGGCTACTGTACAGTTAGAGTCTGGTTTAGATGCACCCACAGGACATAAAATTGAGGATTAGGTTTTGTAAAAAAGTGACAGCTGACCATCTTAGGTCCCTCTTAGATCCTGTGCTGAGTATCATTAGGCCAAACCAAAGACAGTCAATTCTGGTTAGCGTATGACTGAAAGTGGCCAATATGTCGTTAACTTCACTTAGGGCAAGCAATTTTAAGTATTTCTAAATTATTATGGCTGAGTTACCTCAGCTGAGGAGATGTAAGTAGAACATTGAGGTTGGTGAAAGGGTAGGTTTTGCTGCTTGACCTGCTGGTATGCTCTTTCTGGCCAGATTTCCAAAGACCACAACTGGAATATAAAGACATGTGGGGATAGTGTGTACACAAACTGAAAAGTTATCCTTAAGATATCTATTGAAATCATATTACTCTGTTGATATTAAAGAGTGGATAAATGGAGGAAGGATATCTATAGTGAAACTGCACTGGCAGGGGGATGGACAAGATAATTCTACAGGTCTTTTTTCAGCCTCTTACATCTTTAGTTCTGTAATGAAAGAACAGCAGTACTTGAGTACATGAAGTCTGAATAATTTTATTCACTCTTGTCTTGAACCATTAGGTCCACCTTCTGCTGAGCCAGTTTTCTTTACAACTACCTTACCAGATGTCCAATTTTACTTAGCCTGAATCGTGAGAGAAAGGAAGGTTGACTTAGATGACCTGTAATAGAGGATATGTTTTAGAACAATAGGAGTACTATAGAACTCTTGATGGGAGTACTCATGATGGGAGGAGATGCAGGCTGATTTTTCCTTTGCGATCTCATATAGCACGCTTTGTATTTTAGGAGCCTGATCTAACAATACATGGTTTCCTATGTAATGAACTGTTTGAAAGGCAGGAAATGTGGATGGCCCCGATTTGTTCTTAATCTTGATTTACTGTACTTGTGAAATGCAGAACAAAGAGACAGCACTGCAGAATAAAGAGCGAATATCACTTATCCAGAAATGCAAAAATCTTCCTCTAGTCAATATATGATTTTCTGACCTGCCTCTTACTCAAGCAAAAGAAAACAAATGCATCTGTTCTAGGTAAAGAGAGGCAGAACATGCTGTAGGAAGGTGCCCTTACCATGTCAAATATTTAAGAAAAGGATAATTTGAATAGTTATCATATTTGCAAGAAAGATAATTTATAAATAATTATAATTTAATATTGTTAAATTTAAAAAATATTATTTAATATAACTATTATAGAGTTCTGGTAATATTTGCAGGTATACAGAAGGAGTTTAGAAGTTATATGATACTATAAGCTACACTTTTAAAAAACCTCTTAAGCCTAATGATCCTTTTTGTGGGAGAAAACAACTTGGAAATTTATAGACTTTTATACTCAATTGCTACAAATCTATTGATGGAGGCAGCTTTTCCTGTCCCATAAAATGGATAGAGGGTTCACTGAACACATGACTATAGGACTGGAAGGCATCATTCAGGCCATTTTATGCAACCACTGCATTTGTAGACAATCCCAAGAGTCCTGAAAAAAAGAACACCTTAGTCACAAAGCACATTATGAAAACACCACCAAAAATACTCCACAACATGCTACTGGTAAAAAATCATCAGGAGAGTCCAGTGCTAGTGTCCTGCCACAGAAATGGCAGAGGAGAATGAATACATAAATGGCATGGACAGAAGATTCAAAGAAGAGCACCATTCTGTATACTACAGGATGCAGCAACTCCCACATAGTCCTTGCCAATGTGACCTAAGATAAAATTTCCTTCCTGACCCAAATCTGAAGTTGAAGAGAGAGCTTTAGGTTTTACAATTTAAAAAACCTAACATCACTCAAATTATTCCATATTTACACAAGGCTTGACTCTGAAAATAAGCAATTAAAAGAGTGGAAGGATGGTTTTGTGTCTGAGACACTCATGTAGGACTTAGGAGAGCTGTGTTCTGATTCAAAGCTCTACCATACATGGCTTGTGAGCTTGGGCACATCACTTGGTCTCTCTCTCAGACAGGAGTTGTCTGTCTATATTGTAGTGTCTCTTTTGGAGGAAAAAGTAGTATTTTTTGCACTAAAGAAAGGATTAGACATTTTCCTTTTGCAACTGTTGTTCATTATTTTACTAATCCATTTTTCCTATATCTTTTACAGACAGCTACTTCTTGGATTACTCATTTCGACAGATAGCCTTTTAGGTTAAACAAAGGAGCAAAGATTCTTGCTTTCCATCTTTGGTACACACTGGGACAAAGGAATTCGGATCCAATCCCAGGAAACAGTTTAGCACATTTATATTTAGACACATGCACAGTTTCATATGAATTATATGTTACTGATTTTTAATGGACTGCTCATGAACCTAAAGGCAAGCATGGTAAGCTTTGCTAGACTGATGCTTCAATTCCTTTCACAGAGAAGGAATTAAGCCCAGCTAGTGATCACTGGTGAGAGTTTATCTGTGAAAAGGCTCTATCCTCAAAACAAGATCTAGACCACTTAAAAATCAATATGCACGCAAATATTAGTAACTGTTATGGTTTCCACTGTGGGAATCAAATGTTTTATACAATGTCTTATACAAATGTTTGTACCCAAAAGCTTGCAAAGAACAAATTTTCCAAGAATTTAGTTGGCCTAATGTAAGAGAGTTTATCGCTGCAAGAAGAAATGGCTATTAGTCTGGATGTGTCACAAGTTTTGGCAAACGTAGCAATGCCATAGTGTGCGTTGTGAAGTGCAGCAATCAAGGTGAAACCCAGGATATAGAAGTTCTTATCATCAGTTGAGTGGGTTTCCTGGATTAGGACCCTTATGTACTGAGCTAAAGTTAATTTGCCTTTATATACTCTTGATATATACCTTTATAATATCATTTATTGCTTTGTCAATTATTAGTTTGTAACCAATATCCATTTTAGTTTGCCCAAATAACTGTGTAACTTAGCCTTAGTTAAGATTCCATTTTGATTTTTATATTGCTTAGCATACGTATAACAGCCATCTTGTTTTGTGATTTTGTAGGTTAAATATCGTAGAAGAGAAGTGGTGTGTATGTAAGCCCTGTGGTATGTCTGGAATGTTTGAAAAGAGGTAATGAAAGAATAAACAGTATGTGTGGAAATGCATATGTTGAGATGGTCTGTCTTGCACCTCAGACTAAAAGGACGGAAATAGCCTTCTGTGATTTAACAGACAAAGGTTACAACAATGTCCAAGATCAGCAGTTAAGAATTACAACATACAAAATCATGTTTTGTTCCAATGGTCAAAGAGTTGCTGTCAACTGATGGAGAAATTGCAGACCACAAAGCTAGAAGGGTCTGTCAATCATAACATTGCAACAAAAAAAGGATCATGTCATTGTCCAGAGCACGTGACACAGCAAGACCCATATACTTGTATAGGGAACAATCACTATAAAGATGAACAAAAACAAAGAGGCTTTGGGTCTGTCCTGCACAGAAGAAGCAGTGGCATCAGTATGCGTCCGACAAGACCTGGCTTTATCCTCGTGGTTAACTTGGCTGGCCACCAAGCAAACCCAAGCATCTTAAGGATTTGTAATATCTTCATGTTTGCAGGACTGTCTGTCTGTCTCCTTTTGTATGCATGTGAATAAGTGGGGATGTGTGTGAGAGTGTATGAGATAGGAAACACTACCTTTTTATTATTCTTTCTTTTATTTTGTCTTATGTTTTCAATAAATGTGGCATTGTGCCTTATCCCCTGATAAGATTCTTGCTTGTTTTCATTTCACACCGTATGCTCTGTGCACGCAACATACGGCAGAGTGCTGTTGGACCAGTTGCTGGATTATTTCACACTTGGCTCAAGTCAGGCCCTCAATGTTAAACTGGATAGGGCAAGGGCCTCCTGGCTCTAAGAAGGTCTGGTGATTGAGAATTTTATTGATTTCCATATCTTTATCTTTGTGTGCTTTGGTGTTTTTGTTGATTCAGGAGCTCTTGGCCATCCGAGACGTTACCATGGATCACTACCCATGTCACATCCAGACTAACAGCCACTTCTCCCTGCAGCCATCAACTCTCTTGGATCGCAGCGCTCATCTATGGTGTAACCACAGTCAATGTGAATAAACCACCTAAAACTCCCTTCACTAACATCCCTATATACCCCACCCAATGATTTACTCTGTAGATTTCAATCGTCAGCACTTGGAGTGGGGATATCAACATGACTCTCCAGATGGCAAAGCACTGGTAGACTGGGCATCTTTGGCAGGACTCACCTTGCTCTATGACTCCAAGCAACACAGCTCCTTCCACTCAACCAGGCGGAAAACTAATACCAGCCCTGACCTGGCCTTTGCAAGTGCAACAACCCCCACTTCGCCTCCCATCAGAATGGTGATTGGCAATTTCCCCCATTCACAGCACCAACCATCTTTAATTAAATCAAGCTTACCAACCCCATGCGAGAACTTCACTAAAGCTAAATGGGACAATCAAAACAGACTCTGCTAAACTCATTACCTCCCTACCTGAACCAACCAACTCTGATGTTAATAAGACCTATGAAACATTCTGTTCTGTAATTATTCAGATTGAGAAAGACAATATCCTTCACGGGTTTTGAAAATCCTACATCCCTCGGTAGGACAACAAATGTGATAAATTAGCCAATCAACGCCAATCCACTACCACTCCTGAAGAAATCCATGATGCTGCCACAGCACTCCTTGACCACCTCAGTAAATAGAAACAAGACAATTGGATCCAAACCACTCAAAACATAAACTTCACCCACTCGAGCAGGAAAGCCTGGTCCACTATCAACAGCTTAACTGGCAATTCCAGACAATCCCCAAAAGTTCTAGCAAAGGCCAGCGACATTGCCAGATGTTTTATTAACAATGGAAAATTCTCAAAACCAGACAGAAACTTTTCCTGTATGGTGAATGCAAAATTGAAAGAGGCTTGGTACTCTCTCTCAATAGACTCAAATCTCTGCATCATCTTTGAAATCAAAGAGCTGATGGAGGCCATCAGCACCCACAAGGCTGGAAAGTCCCCAGGCCCAGACAACCTCCACCCAGAATTCTTCATCTACTTCTTCTACAGTCTTCTATCAGTGGGATCTAAACTCATTGAAAGACTTCTGTACAATCTCCTGTACCCCATCATCAATCCCCAGCTCCCAAAGGAACAGGCTGGCTTCTGACTAGCTCAACTACTGACTAGGTCTCCTGCCTCACTGCAGACATTAAGGCAGCTTTTGAAGAAGGGAGGAACAAGGAGCAGTCTTTGTAGACTTATCTGCAGCCTATGACACAGTATGGCAATGAGGCCTCACTCTGAAGCT